CCCTGCTGTTCTGTGTTCCTTGTGGTGTCATTGTTTCATTGTCCAGTGTGCGTCCTATTAAACCTGTCAAGTGAATCCTACCTGTCTGCTTCCTCCCCGGTCTGGATCCTCGCCTTAGCTCCGCAGCACGTCGTGACACTGTGCAAATCATAACATCAAATCCTTAAAACTAGATCATCTTGAGTGATTTGTCAGTTCTAGAGAATCGCTCAGACTGGCCATCTGTAGCAAAACGTCTTTAACCATCAAAGATTTTGACACGTCGTCAAAACCTTTTTGCACCTGCAAAGCTGATGAGCAAACAGTTCCTGCATAAACAAAGCTGATATTGTTAGACTCCTTAAGAGTCCGCCAGATGCATGGTTCCATCCAGCTGGTGTGACCCGAGACATCTCTGGACTGAAGAGTCGGTACCTGGGTATTCTACAGCCCTCCGGTGCCAGAGGTCAGCCGACCCCTGTGACTTTCGGATCCACCAAGAGGGTCTCTCCAAAACGGGTAAAGTAGACATGACAGATTGCGTCTGAATGTTCTTCTGATGATAACAACTTTGTAGTTTCGAGCAAACCAAATTCTTTCCAGCAGAACTCAGCTTACTTTGATAAGGAAGCTCTGACTGACATCGCATTCACACATAGGTTTCTTCCTCACATTTAGTTACATCCACTCACAGTAAATGCTTAATTAATTAGTCATGTTTTAAATTGTTTGTAAAATAAATTCTTACTTTTATAAACCTGACTCCTTCTTGAAGTAACACGGTGTGGTTGATCACTGAAAAAGCAAAAAACCTACATCTTCTGAATTAAATCCTAGAATCTTCTGATTACTTACAACAAAGAACCTAGCAGGTTAAAATTTTATATTTATATAGAATATTACATCTTCCTGTTTATAACAAATAAATCATCAAATTTGCCTCCGCTACATGGGAATGAATAGAAACCAGTAGAACATGAGACTGAGCCACTTCTAGATGAAATACAGGACTTGCAGATGCTGTTGGAGCAGCTCAGTGGAATAGATGACTATTATCAGACTCAGCTGTTGGGTTTTTCACCCCCAACACACTAGATGGATGCAGAACTGCTCTTGTGAAGGATGAGGAAGAGAAAGTGTTCACGACTCTACTGACATGAACACAGTACTGCTCATGTCAGTCTTTGTGTCTTTGGCTAAGACACTTCTCCCTCCTTGCCTGCTGGTGGTGGTCGGAGGAACCAGTGGTGTCTGTATACGTCTGCTGCTCTTCTGTCAGCGTACCCCAGGGCAGCTGTGCTACAGTGTAGCTCATCACCACAGCACGTGAACAAGGTGTAAAGTGCCTTGAAGTTCCTGACTTAGGAAACAAGAATGCAGGTCATTTAGGGAAAAGGCTGAGAAGATGAGACATGACGTGACATCGCAAGCATGGAGCATCAGTGGAATTCATGTCAGAAAAATACTGGTCCACAAAATCTTTTGGATCTTTAAAGCCACTCTCCATCATATCTTACAAGCTTTGGGTGTTTTTCTATTATGATGAGACAGCTCTAGTAGGTGGGCTTGTAGTAGAGGGGCAGCCTCTGGATTTCCAAAGGTAGTGTGAGGTTATCTGTATGCGACACAACGCAGTGCAGCAATGAAGAACGTGGCTGAACATCCTGACCTTTTGACATGAGGACCCTGGTCAAAGGCATAGGGCCCCACATGGATACTAGGGGCCCCCTGAGTTCCTGCAGTCTACATCCTGATCTGAGAATCAAAAGAACTTGCCTTTATTCTTTAACCCTCCCACTGTCCTAACGGGTGTGACCCCGCAAGGAAAGTTGACCATTGAGCAGGACTGATGGTTTATCCCTTGGGTCCATGTGGCAGGGGTGAGGAGTGAGCATGAATCCTTACATCAATGGGCAGCCAATTAAGCGCACCCAGCACTAGAGTTATGTGGTCATACTTGCGCCTGCCCTCCAAAAATCTGGCAGCAACATTCTGCACGATTTGCAACCTGGCTATTGAGCCCTTGCTCACACCAAATAAAACAGAGTTGCAGTAGTCCAATCGCAATGGCAGAATGTAAACAGAAAACAATAGAGGTCTCAATATCAAGCCCTGTGGTACCCCCAAGGGTAGATCAGAGTACTCTGAGGAATAACTTCCCATCCTAACAGACATTTTTCTATTTGTCAGGTATGATCTAAACAACTCCAGGGCTAACCCTGAAATCCCGGCATAATGGTGACGGTGAAGCAGCACTTCATGATCTATTGTATCAAAGGCAGCCGTGAGGTCCGGCAGAAGTAACAACACTTTCTGTTCTCCACTGTGAAGCTTCCCAGACTGGTGATTATTGGTGACTTTAACATCCACGTTGATGATCCCTCAGACCACTTCGCTATTAATTTCTCTAGCCTAATGGACTCCAGCTTTACCCAACATGTTTCTGGCCCCACACACCAGGGGGCACATTCTAGACCTTGTTTTTACCCTGAGTCTAAATGCTGACAGTGTTTGTCCTGAGGACATTTATATTTCAGATCACCACTGCATTTTCTTTAACTTGTCAGTTTCTGCGCCCCCACCTCCTGCTCGCCGTATGGTTAGTTCTCGTTTTCTTAATGAGAGCACAGCTAGAAATTTTTCTGCTGCTTTTGATCCACCCTGTTCTTCTGATAACGACCCAGATTCCTTAACTTCTCAGTTTAACGAGCACTGCCTCTCCATTCTGGACAACATCTGTCCTGTCAGAACAAGATCAGTTCCTGCAGTGAACCCTACTCCCTAGTTTAACGACAGCATTCTTAGCCTGAAGCACCAATGCAGGACAAATGAGCGCTTGTGGAAGGTAACCCATCTCCACATCCATCTGCTGAATCGAAAGGATCTTCTGAAATCATTTAACTCTGCAGTCAGAGATGCAAGGGTTGCCTATTTCTCCAACCTGGTGTCCCAGAGCAAAGGGAACCCCAAGGTGCTGCTTAACACCATCAGCACCATCACCAGAGGCCAGGCTGGAGGCCATAAAAATGAATTAGATCATTCAACCTCCAGAATGGACAGTAGTGAGGCAGTTGTGGTGGGAGAAATGTGCCTAGAGTGGCGAGGAGCCTGCCTTCTCACTGAAGGCAATATGGCAGAGATACAACAGACAGGGTCGGCAACCAGACCTGCACATTCAGTCCAGATGATTTAAAAATGTCCAATGTGTGAGAGTGATCATGAGTAGGAACATTGACCAGTTGCAGGAGGCCAAATGAAACCAAAACATCAGAGAAGTCTCTCCCCAGAGGTGAATAGTAAAATCACCTAGGATTATACCTTGGTCATACCTGGGGAGAAATTCAGCTAAAAGATCAGAAAAACCCCTAATAAAAGCAGAGTTATATATTGGTGGTCTGTAACATAGAATACAAAGAATAGGTGGGGAGAGACTGAGTTCAATAACAGAGACCTCGAAGCTGGTGGGGGGTGATGAGCCCGGGAGGCGCTGGAGGGGGAGAGCGGATGAATACATAGTCATTAGCCCCCCACCCCGACCTGACGGTCTGGGCTCATTCACAACAGAAAAGTTTGACGGACAAAGTTCAGCAAGTGCCGCTGACTCACCCGGTGGGACCCACGTTGTTGTCATGCAGAACAAACTTATCCATCATCGATGAAAAAGCTTTTATAACCTCGGTTTCATTCCCCAGCGAGCGAACGTTTAGTAGAGCAATACTGAAAGATGACAAGGAAGTTGAAGGCAAACAAGGAGGAGGATGCTTTGGTAGGTACGGTTCCTCCAATTCACCCCGCCATTACGACGCCTTCGTGTAGTACCCCAGCTGACAGGATCAGAGTCCTGCCTGTGAGCAACCTGAAGGCTGTGGTCCGAGGAATCATCAAGGAACCACACCCGAAACTGAGAAAAGAAGTCATCTCTGGGCTGGCACATGCGGGACGCTAGAAGCTGGACATGAGTGCCACCACGCCAGCCACGTCACTGACGCTTCCACCGCTAGGCAGCTAGTGGAGGAGAGGAGGAAGGCCAATCTCCATTAAACAGGTGCCCAAATGATTGTTTGAATGAGGCATAATGAAACTGGAGAGACTTGAGCCTCTGCCGGAGATCCAAAAGAATAGGTCGATCATAGTTGCAAACACCGACAACCCTGTGGCCACATCTCCGGTCGGCCATCCTCGACAACATGGCCCACTCGGACTCTAAACCTCTCACACAAAATTCTGGCTCCTTCCCCACCAGAGAGGTGACATTCCACGTACCTAAAACGAGCCTCTGTAGCCTAGGATCAGACGGCCAAGGTCCCCGCCTTTGGCTACCACACATTTCACCTGACCCCTTTGTTCCATCCCACAAGTGGTGAGCCCATGGTAAGGCGGACCCACGTTACCTCTTCAGGCTGTGCCCGGCCGGGCTCCAAGGGTGGATGCTTTGCCACCCGGCGCTCGCCGACGTGCCGCACCTCCAGGCATGACTCCAGAGGGGAGCCCTGGTGACCTGCGTCAGGGCCAGGGAACACTTTCCCTTTGTAGTAATCATCATAGGAGTTTTTGGGCTGCACTTTGTCTGACCCCTTATCTAGGACCTGTTTGCCATGGGTGACCCTACCAGAGGCAAGAATCCTCAGACAACTTAGCTCCTAGGATCATTGGGACACTCAAACCCCTCCATCACGAAGGTGGCAGCCCAGGGAGAGGACTATTAATACTAACACTATTAATTTATTTCCTTTGTTTTTTTTTTACAAATTCATTTAGGGTGAGTAGAGTAGCACCACTTCACAGAAAACCCCTGTTTTGTTTTTATGTACTGATTGATAATTTGTGTTGTGTTTATAAATAATCTAATGTATGGTGGTTCAATTGTAGTTTGGCAAGATAGGGGCCCTGGAACGGCATCTTGCATTGGGCCCCCACAAAGCTAAAAACAGCTCTGACCCTGGTGTTGCTCTTGAAACTTGCTGTCGCTTTCTGTTGGGGTTGGGGTTAATGGCATTTCTTTTTTTTTCTGTCCCTTACAGACCAACAAAGCAGTGTCTAAAGGAGACTTCCACCTGGCAAGCTCCAGCTCAAGACGGGCTCTCTTCCTAGCTGTGTTGTCAATCACCATTGGTACGGGTATCTATGTGGGCGTAGCCGTAGCCCTGATTGCATACTTGTCCAAGAACCACCAGTGGTAACCATGACAACAATGTGGGAGATTACCCATCAACTTCTTGCTGAGATGAAGCATTGAATCCACCTGAGCAGGTGTACATCAGACCTGCATGTTCTGCGCCAGTCAGATTGCAGGAACGCTGTGGAGGTTTCATGTACCTGAAACAAAGAAGAATCTCTAGAGTGATCATGTTTACATCATCTCATGTTGGTCATTAAATATCTTGCAGGTTCAGTGGGAGTTAAACCAACTTGGTCATCTGAATTCTGAATGCTGTTGGATCACGCTAAATCCTAGAGCAGTTTGGTCCAAAAACGCCTTCATTAAACTTTCTGAGGTTCTAGTCTGAAACAGGGTTGACCCTGAACCCTGAGCAGTGTTGTCTTCACTGTTCATCAGAGAAACTCTGAATCAGTGGTACATCTGATGCTCACAATAGGTCAGAAACAAGACGTTCTTCTGATGTTTGTAAAAAGGAGTAGAAGTCCACACACACACACACACACACACACACACACACACACACACACACACACACACACACACACACACACACACACACACACACACACACACACACACACACACACACACACACACACACACACCATTTCTGGATTTAGACCTCTTGATCCAAAGTTTGTTTTGTTTATTGTAACAAGCCAAACATGCACAAAACCAGAAAACTGCTTTCAGTGTCTTTGTGGAAAATAAATTTCCGTTGTTTGTGGCTGTCAAAAATAGTGAGTTTTTCCAGGGTTAGTTTGATGTTTTTATACAAAAACGAGTCAGCAGGATGTGTTTTGTCAACACATCCTCACACCCTAAGCGTCGAAAAATGAGGCGGTATGACCAAGCATCAAAATAAGACGCGCAAGGTGCCCCATAGTGTCAGGAGAAGACGAGCAGGGACACGCTCTGCGCCACAACGTCCATTTCCGACGCCCGCGGTGAGACGGACATTTAACCTACATTTCACCTCTAACCTCTAGCGATTTAACCTTCCCCTCACCCCCATCCTAACCTTAACCCAGCATGTCTGCGTAAATTTTCAATTAAACGTGTTTGAGAGGAACGACGGAACGCAAAACAAAGCTTTGCATGCGCAAGCTTGTTAAGGTTAGGGGAAGGTTAAATAGCAAGAGGGTAAAGGTCACAAATAGGTCAAATGTCCATCTCACAGCGGGCGTTGGATACCGACACTCTGTCCCTGCGCGTCCTCTCCCGACGCACTGGGGCACCCTGAGCGTCATATTTTGTCGCTTGGTCACACCGCGTCATTTTTTTGACACTTAGGGTGTGAGAACATGTTGGTTTAGTGTTTCAGTCTTTTATTTTTTTTAAAGTGAGAATGCTCTTTACGCTTTGATGGGTGGAGTGAGCCACAGAAGGAAAGGGTGGCATCATCCATGTTCACTCCAATGGGCAATTGTTTTTACAGCAACAGTGGGTAAACAGTTTCCAGAAGTTAGCGTCTCATGCTAACTTTTACATATTCTTACTGCAGAATGGGCAACTCCTGATTCTCTTTTGAAAAATATGATGTTTATGTAATTAAAAAATTACAATTACTTAAGTTTGTTATTTGATTATTTTACATTAGAATAGTTCATCATGGAACGTCCTAGCAGGCTATGCTCGAGTTAGATGCTTGAGTGGCGCGCTCCATGTTTAAAAAGCCAATCGAAGTGTTTGACTCACCTGAATAACTGACGGGGGAACCTCTAATATCAACAATGAGTTTGAATCAAAGGGAAAGTAAAAGAGACTCTAAAGCAAGGAAGAATGAATACTGGAAGATGACCAGAAGAAGCAGCTATACTGCAGGTGTGTATAATAGCAGTAAAAAGGACTAGTATGATTAGATAGGATAGTGTTACACGCCCCAGGCTGTAACAGGCTTCTTAGCAAGTTTTTCATGGAGGATCTAGAACAGAAAGCCATAGCCATTAACACAAACAGGAAACCAACACACACACGCCAATATTTATTATGGACACCAGAACATCCTACTGTACATAAAAGGTCAGTGATCAGAACGTTATGCCACAGAGCAAACATAACAGAGGAACGGGACCGTAACCAAGGACCGACATATACAAAATGCTTTAAAGACCTGCAGATACCCGACATGGTGATAAACAAAGGAAAACAACAGACAACAACAGAAGGAAAAGAACAACCAGAACTCCAGAAAGATAAGAACCAAAACCTGTCGAGCGTCTGGCTTAACTCTGAAGGAGTTTTGCGTCAGCTGGTTACAATTGCGTTTATTCGAAGCAAGACTATCGGCGTGACAGAATGCTTAGTAGAGACTTGGGCGTCCGTCCCTCGTCTCCTGGTATGGTTCAAGAACTGAACTTACAGCTGCGGAGATTTGGTTTTAACAAAACCCTCAGAACACGCCCTCAGCGTCAGAAAGCTTGATGCTATGCGTAAAGACATGTGAGGTGTTTTAACTTTACCCTGGATACCCTCTGCGTGTGGTGGTTAAACGTGCAAGATGACCTTCTGGTTTACTGAACACACATTACGGGCTATCATAAATAATTATTATTATTATTACCCAAAGCATAATAAGTCATTTCAGTAATTAAAATACATTTATACTGAACCAAGATTTATGATGATTGTAATAAACAGAAATAAAGTCAAAGAGTGTATTCAAATTATTATTTAAAAATTATTATTGTGAAATGTTTATGTTTATGTATTTAGCAGACGCTTTTGTCCAAAGCGACTTACAAGTGAAATCTTGAAGTGTCCTTCATCTTGGGACGGAAGAGCAGCAGATAAAGATGGTGTTTCAGCAGACATCACGGCTCCTGGCGGGTTAATCTGTGGGGCAAAGTTACAGTTCGACCCAGCTTGACCCAGCTGGAAAAATGTGACCTTTGTCACAAATTAGAGGCCATTCATGACGCTACACAATAAAACTAGAGCAAGCTATCACTGTGTCAACCTAATGAGGAAATATAAAAGATGTGTAGGAGATGGCGGGAGCTCCAAGTCCCAGAGATCCAGGAGCTTCCCCAGAGCGCAGGGACCCCAGGGAGACTGTAACCAGAAAAGCCCCAGCCCCCTCTCGAGAGGCGCAGAGGATTGTCCCCGGGGGCCACAACCAGCAGCCGGCAAAATAAAAAATAAAAACTTCACTAAATTCACATTGGAACCCAGAAACCTGAAGAAATGGATTCCTGGTTCTGATCAACAAACAAAATAACTGACCACTTTCCACACTCGACTACTTTCTTCTACAATTTGCTCTTTTTAACTGTTTTATTTCTTGCTATTTCAGCTGTTAACTTTAATTTTTCTTTAAGTGTTTTTCTCCCCAGAAGAAGCTACAATGATGCTCTGCTGAGCTGTGGTGCCTCATGGAGGGGGCACCACAGCTCAGGCCATCAGATAGGTAACAAGTGATTGGTAACAAGATGGTGCCTATGCTTGGCTTAGCAACAGTCACCGGCCACTTTTTCAAACTTTTCTCCACTAACCTCCTGTTTTCCACCTTGCTCCTGTCTGCGATCCTCTTCAGTAGTCCTACCATCTCCTATGATCGCCAGACTCTTTTGTCCTTCCGTTCGTTCACGATTGCCCAAGATGCACCGAGGATGTACCTCCCTGTTTGTTTATCTAAGTGGCGCACTGGTCCGGAGCCAAACAACGATTCCAACCAGGGCACCTCCAGCAATGTTTATCTGGTCCTGGGAAAACATCGGAGGAAAAGAGATAAACGAGCAGGAATCCAGGTGAGAAAAAGACTTCTCTTAAAACGTGGTTTATCTAGTAGACATCGGCATGATCTTCTAGCTTCTTTTCCTTTGTTTGGCGATTTGAGCGCCACTTCCGCATTCCCGCCAGGCCGCGTTGCGGTCGGTCTATCCTCATTCCTCAGTGGTTTCTCCTCCTGTTTCCTCCGTAAGTGGTTTTTATAAACACCGTGGATCTAACCCTGCTAATTTACGTTCACTAACTCCAGCTGTTTCTGTAGTTTCTGATTCCTCCACCTCACTCAGCATGGCTCTATTAAATACCCGCTCTGTTAACAATAAGTCCTTCCTGCTCAATGATTTAATTCTCTCTAAAAACCTGGATTTTCTGTTTCTGACTGAAGTTTGGCAGCAAACATCTGATTATTCTGGTCTGATTGAACTCTGCCTGAGTGGTTATTCTTTCCTTAGCCAGCCCCAGGGTTCTGGTCGTGGTGGAGGCCTAGCTGTTGTTTTCAGAGACCATCTTCCATGTCGCTCTACAACCTCTGGTCACTTTGCTTCCTTTGAACTGCAGCTGATTAAAGTCGGGCGTAAGAACCCGTTCTACTGTGCTGTGGTCTATCGTCCACCTGGTCCAAACAGTTCTTTCCTTCAGGAGTTTAGTGACTTTCTATCCTCCACTGTGAAGCTGTCCAGACTGGTGATTGTTGGTGATTTTAACATCCACATTGATGATCCCTCTGATCACTTTGCCATGAATTTCTCCAGCGTTACGGACACCTTCAGCTTTACCCAGCATGTTTCTGACCCCACACACACCAGGGGGCACTCTCTGGACCTTGTTTTTACCCTGAGTCTAAATGCTGACAGTGTTTGTCCTGAGGACGTTTATATTTCAGATCACCATTGCATTTTCTTTAACTTGTCAGTTTCTGCGTCCCCACCTCCTGCTCGCCGTATGGTTAGTTCTCGTTTTCTTAATGAGAGCACAGCTAGCAATTTTTCTGCTGCTTTTGATCCACCCTGTTCTTCTGATAACGACCCAGATTCCTTAACTTCTCAGTTTAACAAGCACTGCCTCTCCATTCTGGACAACATCTGTCCTGTCAGAACCAGATCAGTTCCTGCAGTGAACCCTACTCCCTGGTTTAATGACAGCCTTCGCAGCCTAAAGCGCCAATGCAGAAAATTTGAGAGCTTGTGGAAGAAAACCCATCTCCACGTCCATCTGCTCCACCTAAAGGATCTTCTGACATCATTTAACTCTGCAGTCAGAGACGCTAGGGTTTCCTATTTTTCCAACCTGGTGTCCCAGAGCAAAGGGAACCCCAAGGTGCTGCTTAACACCATCAGGAGCATCGTCTCTCCTGCCTCTCCTACAGCCTCCATTCACTCTGAGGTCTTGTGACAGAAAGTTCTCACAGTCTGCAACAAAGTCAACAAGGTTAGATCTAGCATCTCTCCTTCAGCCTTATCGCCGCCTCTCCCGACTCCAACCAGGCCCATCATCCTAGATAGCTTTGCTCCTGTTTCTTTGCCTGAGTTAACCAAACTAGTTAACTCTATGAAGACCTCTGCATGCCCCCTCGACATCTTTCCCTCATCTTTGTTTAAAAGTGCTTTTCAGTCCATCGGTCCCAGCGTGCTCTCTATAATTAATGCTTCTCTGGTTTCTGGTCAGGTCCCTGCTTATTTTAAGAACGCTGTAATCCACCCACTTCTTAAAAATCTGAGTCTTGAACCCTCTCTCCATAGCAGCTTCAGACCCATCTCCAAACTTCCGTTCATCTCCAAGATCTTGGAAAAGGTTGTGGCTAAACAACTCACAGCTGCTCTTGATGAACATAACATCTATGATTGCTTAGTCAGGTTTTCGTAGAGCTCATTCTACTGAAACAGCTCTTCTTAGGGTCTCTAATGACCTTCTGACTCACAGTGATGCAGGGGACGGTTCTGTTCTGGTCTTGCTGGACCTGACTGCAGCCTTTGACACTGTTGACCATCACCTGCTACTGGAGAGGCCGAGAGACTGGGTAGGCCTATCAGGAACTGCTCTGGAGTGGTTCTCTTATCTTTCTGAGTGCTCCTTTTCTGTGGCCGTCTCCAAGTTTAGGTCCTCCACCACCTCCCTTACCCATGGTGTCCCACAAGGTTCTGTGCTGGGGCCTCTGCTCTTCTTCCTCTATCTGCTTCCTCTTCAGCACATCCTGAGTTCCTTCAAAGGAATCTCCTACTATCTTTATGCAGATGACATCCAACTCCTTTTAGCCCCATGAGATGTCTAAGCTGCAGCTGTTACACACCTGCTTAGACTCTATAAAAACCTGGATGGCTGGGAGCTTTCTACAGCTGAATGAAGGTCAAACTGAGATCCTCATCTGTGCCCAGACAAGCAGGTTCCCAAAGTCAGAGACTCTCTTAGTCAGCTTGCTTCTCACACCAAACCTTCCATCAGGAATCTTGGCATGACCTTTGACACAGCTCTCACCCTGGATTCTCATGTCAGTTCTCTTGTTCGCTCTTCCTTCTTCCATCTCAGGAACATTGCTAAGCTGAGTCCCATTCTGTCCCGCTCTGAACTTGAGACAGTTCTCTACACCTTCATCTCCTCACTCTTAGACTACTGCAAGTCTCTTTTCACGTGTCTGAGCAGAACCTCCCTGAACCGTCTACAGGTGGTTCAGAATGCCTGTGCTCGGCTTCTTATCAAGTCCTCCAAACACACCCGCATCACCCCCCTTCTCCTCCAGCTTCACTGGCTGCCAATCAACTTCAAGGTGCATTTCAAGATCCTGGTTCTGGTCTATAGGGTCTTACATTGACAAGCACCATCTTACATTGGTGATCTTCTTAGTCCCTACACCCCCAGCAGGTCCCTGAGGTCCAGTGATCAAAGCCTACTGGTTGTGCAGCGCACCAGGCTTAATCCTCTGGGGTCCATGGACGCGTATCCGCATCTTTTGAATAGGTCTGATTTGGGAAGCTGTAGCAGCAAGACTCCGCCTCCCTGAGTTTCGGTTTCAATTCAGCTTTAAAAAGGAGATTATAAACTCCACCCCAGTTTTTAAATTTTGTTAAAAGGCAACGTAAAAGTGGAGTTATACTAAACTAAGAAACAACCTATTTTTAGACAATCTGATAACTTGTCAAAACAGCAGTTTAATAATCCGTGAGAGGGAATGTGCTTGTGAACGTAAAAAAACCCATAAAAACATGAGATCCTTTTGGATCTCTGCCATGGATGGCTGCTTATACTGAGCCAGAATCCTCTGGAGATTTCTTCCTGTTAAAAGGGAGTTTTCCTCTCCACTGTCGCTAAATGCTTGCTTAGTATGGGGATTGCTGTTAAGACTGTGACACTAGTCAATGACTCGATGCAACCTGCTGGGTTCCTTACATAGGAAACTTTTCACTGATTGGATTAACCCTTTGATGCATAATGGTCACTACAGTGGACAGGTACTCAAAATTGTTATTTATTTTTGCTATTAAGCACAGCTATTGAAGACTTTATTGCATTTCAGCCTCTCCATTTGGACTTCAGTAAGTCAAGCCAACATTTTTCATGTTCAGAATGCACGCTGTCCACTGAGATGGACATGTAATAAACTATGTGTAAATAAAATGTTACAAAAAATATGTAAATATGAAATTTGTTTCATTCACACCTAAAGATGAATGGAAAAAATTGTTTAAAAAATCATGATTGAAGATTTCATAATTCATGCATCAAAGGGTTAATGAACTGACCTGTATTGGAATGTTTACTGTGTGTAGGTCCTTGAGATGACTCTTGTCGTGATTTGGCGCTTTATAAATAAACTTGAATTGAATTGAAAATCTACATCATCTCAGAATTGTTCTGGTGCCAGAACTAAACGCTGATCCAGACTCTGCAGCTGACCTGGTGAAAGTGGACACATTGCGTGATGTGTTGGAACAGATCAGAGCAAATCCCCTTCAGCTTCACTTTAATCTCGGATCCCTGATCTCCCTCATCCTGAGTCACCTGCTTTCAGGTGGGCAGGTCCATCACGTGTCAGCTGATTGGTGGTTGCATGTTGAACTGATGAGATATAAAACAACAAAATAAATCATTGAATGGTGAAGTGACTCGGGTCCAAAAAAGTTTGGGTTATAACAGCATTCCAAAGAATCTTCTGATGGGGGGAGTCCGGTCCATCCTGAACCCCCGGGTCTACCCTGTGTCATGGTGACTCATTTGAGCCTCACCTGAAATCAGCAGTTAATCTCTTCCTTGAGCTGATCAACTATTCATCTGCAGTTACCATATTAACGCCCTGTGGTAACCATGTAGTAATAAGATATTGTAAACGCGTACAAATAATGAAGAAAGCCTGAAGAAATAACCTGAATTTCTACAAATTTTATTGTTGGCGCTAAAGATATAGCACAGTCTTCTGACATTTAACACACTTTAAACACGTGAAAATTTCCTTCAAATAATGATATACAAACATGTTTAACATTTAGATTAGCTAAAATTTTGTAAACAAGCTAATTCTAAATGCACTGGTATTTGTAATTTGACACTGGCAGACAAGAAGCTCCAGAGTTGGTTAAAGAACCAAAGCCAGTAAACAGGAGCGACCCAGAAGTTATTTTTTATATCCCTGAGAAGCCACGGCATCTTTTTGTTTTACTCTGATATCAGGTAATACAGGCTAGGGGCTAATGTTCAGCTAACAATGCTAACGGTGAATCAGAAGCAAATAGACTACTCTAAATATATCTCAAGCAATCACCAACAGCTGGATACTACAATGAAATGTGTGTGTGAAGTTAAAAATGAGTCTTGGTGTTTTACTTTCTTTACGAGTCATTCAGAACTATAACAGCAAGTCTGCAAAAACACTTCCTGTAATGCTGAAGACAAACTGCATTAAGAAGTGCAGTAAAACACCCAAGACTGCTAACACAGGATATATGTATTTATCAACTTACCGTGAATGACTCGTCTTTGTGTCTTGCAATCTACTGGTGCTGATGTGTAACTGGCAACAGCCAAGTAACTTTTTAGAAAGTATTTTGGAAAAAAATATATACTGCAGTACCCAAATTTGACAACAGGATGTTAAGCTTACTTCATTCTTACACGTCGCACCTCTAAATCTCTGGGCCAAATCTTTGACGCACAGCCCATGTTCAGGGCAAAAGAGGGTGAGCACAATTGGTGTTAACCTTTCTTGTGCCAAAAATGCCTTGGGTAGTTTGAGGGGGGATGGTGTTTAAATAGCACCATTTCACAAGAGTCGTCTCAAGGTACTTTACAAAGTAAACATTCCAAATTAAACCGCCTTACCAGCAGTGCTCACCAAAAGATTTGAGCCCCGCCTACCAAACTGGCAGATGTATGAATGTCTCAAGCAGGACCTTTTTGAACCACATGGTACATTGTCCTTGTGTTTATCAGATTTGTATAGATTTAAAAGGGGGTCTGGATATGACCTCTGACCTTAATGTACTATACATATTTTCTAGGGATGTAAGAAAATATCGATAAGGCAATGTATCGTGATATTTTTTCCAGCAATATTATATTGATATTCAAAAGCAGTGCATCTAATTTTTGGAAGAATTCACATGCAAACATTTGTGTATTTTGTTTCTTTTGGGGCAATTCTAACGCAGACCGCCAGTTAGCAGCAGTGTGCAATGGGTTTTGTTTCCACCATTAAAATGTAAGTCCCTCTGTTATGGTTCATGTTAAACATGTTAAGTATCAGTTTGGACTGTTTATTGAATTTTCCTACAATAAATTCTGTCTAAAAAAAATCGCTAATAATGTCTGACTGAAGGTATGGCAATGTATCGGCTCCCCTGTATTATGATACGTATCGTATTGCCATCATTTCACCAATACACATCCCTAACATTTTCCCTTTGACAATATTCTGTCACTGACTAGTGTCAGAACTTTACAGCATTCCTCATACTAAGCAAGCATTAGGCGACAGTGGAGAGGAAAACTCCCTTTTAACAGGAAGAAACCTCCAGAGGATCCTGGCTCAGTACAAGCAGCCATCCACCATGACGGATGGAGAAGACAGAGTAGACATAGACACACGCACACACACACACACACACACATGTATATATATATATATATATATGGCTCAAACACGCATACCAAAAGTGGCCATGCTGTGGACCCCAGGACGCGGAAAACGGAAACAAGGACGGCCAAAAATCACATGGCGCAGAACTTTTATCGAAGACCTACGTGCCGTGAACCTGTCATGGGATGAAGCCGAGGCCGTCGCGGCCGACAGAGCTCGCTGGCGATTACTTTGCGCCCAATGCGCCAGTAGGCGCCGGAGGAACTAAGTCTAAGTCTAATATATATCAAGTAGTGTTTCTATGGTTACATTGTGATTTCTTAGTAAATATCCTGTTTGGTGAGGGATAAACTTTATTGTATTTATCCTATAGAATCTATAATTAAACGGGTAAACTAGTAGTAGCACATTCAATGTCAAAGAAAGTAAAATGTTATTATCAGGAGTGGAAGAATGTTTAAGTGTTTAGCAGCAGTGTGCTAGACGATGGCCCCCCTCCATGAGGCCACCACAGCTCAGCAGAACATCATTGTAGCTTCCTCTGGGGAGAAAAACACTTAGAGAAAAAATAAAGTTAGCAGCTGAAATAGCAGGAAATAATACAGTTAAAGAGCAAATTTTAGAAGAAAGTAGTCGAGTGTAGAAAGTGGTCAATATGTCCTCCAGCAGTCTAAGCCTATAGCAGCATAACTACAGAGATAACTGGATAACCTAGCCTTTTAGATGGAGGCACGTTGGAGGCAGGGCAAGGGAGAGCCGTCTTTATAGACTGTATTCTCCACTGGAGATTTATTTCTCAGATACAGATTTAACATTTAGGTTTAAACATTTAGATTAGCTAAAAGTGTTGTACAAGTAAACATGGTGGAATGTAACCATTTTTGAACGCTTTCCTTTTAAATGTGATGACTGGAAAAGGATAGCCTCGACGGCCGCTCTGGTGGTCTTCCTGTATCTGCCGTAGCTCTACATGTCTGTGTGTTTAACCTTGGTCAGGCTGGACTGTGGAGACCAGTTTCTATGATAAAACTGGTTCTGATTCTGGATGTAAGCTAAATCATAAAACAGTCCCCTAAACCTTTGGGCCCACACAGAAACAGTCACATGATGTTCTGCATGAGCTGCCTTCAGGTGTGTGAAGGTGTTTAATAAAAGCCGGTCACATGGTTTGGTATCAGTTACGTAGTTTTATGAGTTACATCAGAACTACAAACCAACAACATCAGAAAACATAACACAAACATAAACATCTCTAGTGTTCGATTAGTACTACACAGCTGATCAGGTCTGATTACAGTCTGACTAGAAACCAGATGATCACCTTTCACCCTGAGCTTTGTCCGATAAGCTCAGCTCCATGGCCATCATCCCACTGAGTGACAGATTAAAACGCTTTAGACCAACAAACTTCAGCTGAACAGAACCAGAACTTCCTTTGTTTTTCTACAAACAACAAGAGGGGGGAGTGAGACACACCAACTGTGAAACCTGCAGAGGAACCGGAGAACCCCACCTGGCTGGACCTCTAACAGCATTTCAGAGACTAAACCAAGGTCAAACAGGTCACTGAGCTCATTTTTACCATGCTAAGACTTTTCATCAAACTGTCACCTTTAGATCAAATTTGACAGATTTCAGTTTGAAAAACGGTGACCAAGCCACCCATGCTGCCCAGTCAGATGTGAGCGAGCTCAGAAATACTGAATTAGGATTTATTTACACCTGTATGTACAGATCGCCAGCTGTTCAGGTATACATTTCACACCTAAGGACTTCTGGAAGTTTTCTTCACATAACTACACAGGTGGGTGCTTACCAGCTACTTGTCACAGGTGACAGCTGGGAATTTCAGGAAAACAAGGATGAGACCAAAATCCAACCGATAGTAAAATATATCACATCAACAAAATCTAAACGTAAACAAACATGTTTGGCAAAAATCATTGGATGGTGGAACTATGGCGTCCTCTGCAGGACAAATAATGGAAGTGTGGCAGCCTGTTGGTCAGCTGATCCACAGAGAGTGGAATCGGTCGGGCTCAGTTCATGCCAAAATTATCAGATTTATTTATAACCACTGATTTTTGTTCTTCCTGTTTCAAAAACTCTTCAACATATTAGCAAAATGAAATATGCTGGCATTCACTGTGTATGTGTGTGTGTGTGAGTGTGTGTGTTTGCTGCCACAGGTTTTGTGGCATTACAGCTGAACAGCCATTTAGCCTCTTTCTTCATTAAAATGGTGGCTGTTAGGGAGGGGAAACCTCAGTTCTTTTAAGGGGGCGGGGCCTTCAGGTGGTGGCCTCTGGGGCATCTCCACCCTCCTGCACCTGGTTGGCCCGACCCAGTGTCTTGAGCTTTGTGAGAACATCAGCAAAGGTCTCCTTGAAGCCCTTCTCCAACAGCCAGCCTTCACTCTCACACTCGGGGTTCTCAGGATCCGTCATCGTCTCCAGAGATGTGCTCAGGTACTTGAGACCTGCAACATCCATCGACTGACACACACATGTATGTAAGCACACACATGCGCACACACACACGCACACACACACACACACACACACACACACACACACACACACACACAGGTCAGATTACAGTATCATAGCTGAGGTGTTGTGAACCTGCAGGTACCCGTTGGATCTAACATACAGACCATTAACCATCTAAAAGCTGTGTTGGATCGTTTCTCACCTTGTGGACCTACTTAGGGAGCTTACATGACTTTTTCCCTTCCCAGGGGAGGACAGGTGTGTCTCACTTCTGGATAACGGTGTTGACGTTCCGACCCAGAAAACCAGTTGATTCCTGTCGGGAAGTGTTCCTGCATTCCCAGAATGCATCCTGCTGGCAGATTAGTCCCCTCTAGAATAGTTCCTGATCCTCAGTGACCCTCCCCCAACACACAAACCAATCAGAGTGGATGGTCTGTTGGAACGTGATTTCTGTCGGACCATTGCCGGTTTCCGTGACTCCTTTGGGAACGTTAGCTGTAAAGCTCGTTAAGGAGGAGGTCACCTGAGGAGTTTGTGCAGGTGCTCTGCAGCAATCATCTTGTTTTAGACAACAAGATTAAGAACATCACTGATCTTCTATGAGCCAGTTGAAAACGCCAAACAGTGCGTTACCATGGAAACCGGCCTGTTTGATTTAGAACAAGTGCTGAAACACAAAGCGAATGTTGGTTTGTGATGTTTCTCACAACTGATGCTGGAACATGAGGAACATCATGGAGCGGTGCCAGCAAAGGTCGACCCCTGGTGAAGGTCAGAGGTTCACATCCCAACCAGATCAAGAGTTTACCGAACATCTGGTTCTGCTCTTCAGCAGACCCTAACCAGAACCGGGAGGGTCAACGTTCACAATGCGGTCCACACCTGTTCCACCAGAACCTGAACATGATAAACGACCTGCACAGGTGTAGCGCTGTCCCAGGTGTCCAGGCAGTGATGAGCCCCATCTTTACCACATTACGTTTATTTATACAGCACTCATCACAGAAAGGAAAACAACAAACGTCATCAGTAAACATGAAAATATGAAGAAGTCATTTTACAGATGAAAAACCACAAAAGCCACAGCTACCCTGAGAAACACCCACATCGGTGAGGCTGCTGTACCCAGACACCACCGGTCCCTCCTACCAGCAGATGAGGAGGGTTAGGTGTCTTGCCCAAGCACACAACGGCAGAGTTGTCTGCAGGGAACTGGGATCAATCCCACAACCCTCCAGTTTCTTCTGAGCTACTGCTGCCCATGAGAGGTGTGTGAAGCAGATCAGATAACTGCTGCTGATGGAGGTTTAAATGTGTAGGGGTTCTCTGCAGCTGGGATGAGAATCAGCTCCTCTAAATCTGAGACCAAGTTCTTGAGTCTGAAATGGGTAGAATGCCTTCTCCAGGTCAGGGATGAGGTCCTGCCTCAAGTGGAGGAGTTTAAGTATCCCGGGGTCTTGTTCACGAGTGAGGGAAAACTTGAGTGTGAGATCGATAGGCGGATTGGTGCTGCGTCTGCAGTGATACGGGTGTTGTACCAATCTGTCGTGGTGAAGAGAGAGCTGAGTCAGAAGGTGAAGCTCTCGATTTACCGGTCGATCTACGTTCCTACCCTCATCTATGGTCATGAGCTTTGGGTAGAGACCGAAAGAACGAGATCGCGGATTCAAGCGGCCAAAATGAGTTTTCTCTGCAGGGTAGCTGGGCTCTCCCTTAGAGATAGGGTGAGAAGCTCGGTCATCCGGGAGGGGCTCGGAGTAGACCCGCTGCTTCTCCACATCGAGAGGAGCCAGTTGAGATGACTCGGGCATCTGGTCAGGATGCCTCCCTGGTGAGGTTTTCTGGGCATGTCCAACTGGGAGAAGACCTAAAGGGAGACCCAGGACACGTTGGAGGGGCTATGTCTCTCGCCTGGCCAGGAAGCACCTTGAGATTGACTCTGATATAGGAGTCTGAGACCGTGAATGTGGGTTTTTATCAGCTGTGTGCCATAATCATCACCTTTTAGGTTTAATTACTGACATACATGAACTTTTGTACCAGATTCTGTTTCACCTGTATGTTGGCCCTCCTGAATACTGGCTGCAGGTGTGTATGTGTGTTGGGGGGGGGGGGGGTCGTCTCACCTCGAGGATGATGGTGATGATGATGAGCACTCCGATGCTGGTCATGATACTGCTGTAGTAGGAGAAGACAGCCTCACGGCAGCCTCTGGTCCAGATGTTCAGCTCTTCAGTGCGGTGGTCATAGTCATAGTGGGCGGAGTTATTGGTCAGGTGATGCTGGATGCAGGGCCGTGGTGAGCCGGGATTACAGCAGCTGAAGGGAACGCTGTCCATCAGATACTTTCCCTCCACGTTACTGAGGACACGACTGCAGGACAAACAGATGTGAGGTCAGAGACTGTGGTTAGGCCCCCTGGGTTAGACGCTGACAGCTGGTCCAGGAAAGCTCCTTCCATTGGCTGGAACTGTGTTGTCCTCTAATCTTGAACTAAAGGGTGAGGGTTAGGTTTAGATGTTTGATCTGCTGCCAGAAAGCATATAAACAGCTGGAAACCTAGTCCTGAAGTGTTTCTAAACCTTCAGAGTCCTCTGAATCAGAAAGGTCCATCACGTGTTTCCAGAAGCTCAGACTAGAAGAGCCCAGTCTGTGCCTGAGACTGGGCGGATGCAGAACACATCGCTTAGGTTTCAGATCAGATTTTATAAATCCTATGAAGTACAGCCAGAGCAGGTTTTCTACACACTGAGCTGCTCTCTGGGGGTGCTGCTCTGAGCCTACCCATGGTTCTGCTGGTCCCACCACACCAGGAAAGGACCCGTTACCGGGAACCCAAAGGCGTAACGGTAGGATCCAGGGTTGGGTGTACGCTCAACCTCATCCAGATGTTTCACACCACACATACTCGTGAGTCCAGCCACATCCCTCAGTTTGTCCTGACCAGCATGGAGAAAAACACATCTCCACTTAAACATGCTGATGAAGGATCTGATGGAGAAGCCCTACACCAGTCTTCTGCTCAAAGCTCCCCCTACAGGCCGAGGGGACTGCTGTTTCTAAATGAAGAGATGAGACAAGCATGCACATCAGGTTGGGGTCCAGGGTGCACCCCCTCCACCAACCAAAGACGGTGGGAGGTGGAAACCATCTTTCTGAGACCCTAGTGAGCATGGATGGAGACGAGAGGCAAGAAAATAAGTTTCTCTGAAGCAGGGGAGGGGCCCAACTAGTGGGCGTGGCTTGTGGTTACCACAAGATGAAGAGCAGAGAAACTGCTGGTAGGTGGTTTTAAATGACCATTCTAGTGCCTGTGGTGTTCAGGAGAAACATCTCTGATCCAAAAGCAGCAGAGAAGATCAGATCCTCTTAGAGGAACTTTCACCTCCTTATCTCCTGCCTGATCCTCACCTGATCCTCTCTGACTTCACAGATTTACAGTGGGGCAAAAAAGTATTTAGTCAGCCATCGATTGTGCAAGTTCTCCCACTTAAAATGATGACAGAGGTCAGTAATTTACATCATAGGTACACTTCAACTGTGAGAGACAGAATGTGAAAAAAAATCCATGAATTCACATGGCAGGATTTTTAAAGAATTTATTTGTAAATCAGGGTGGAAAATAAGTATTTGGTCACCTCAAACAAGGAAAATCTCTGGCTCTCACAGACCTGTAACGTCTTCTTTAAGAAGCTTTTCTGTCCTCCACTCGTTACCTGTATTAATGGCACCTGTTTGAACTCATTATCTGTATAAAAGACGCCTGTCCACAGCCTCAAACAGTCAGACTCCAAACTCCACTATGGCCAAGACCAAAGAGCTTTCGAAGGACACCAGGAAAAGAATTGTAGACCTGCACCAGACTAGGAAGAGTGAATCTACAATAGGCAAGCAGCTTGGTGTGAAAAAATCAACTGTGGGAGCAATTATCAGAAAATGGAAGACATACAAGACCACTGATAATCTCCCTCGATCTGGGGCTCCACGCAAGATGTCATCCCGTGGGGTCAAAATGATCATGAGAACGGTGAGCAAGAATCCCAGAACCACACGGGGGGACCTGGTGAATGACCTGCAGAGAACTGGGACCACAATAACAAAGGTCACCATCAGTAACACACTACAACGGCAGGGAATCAAATCCTGCAGTGCCAGACATGTTCCGCTGCTGAAGCCAGTGCATGTCCAGGCCCGTCTGAAGTTTGCCAGAGAGCACATGGATGATACAGCAGAGGATTGGGAGAATGTCATGTGGTCAGATGAAACCAAAGTAGAACTTTTTGGTATAAACTCAACTCGTCGTGTTTGGAGGAAGAAGAATACTGAGTTGCATCCCAAGAACACCATACCTACTGTGAAGCATGGGAGTGGGAACATCATGCTTTGGGGCTGTTTTTCTGCTAAGGGGACAGGACGACTGATCCGTATTAAGGACAGAATGAATGGGGCCATGTATCGTGAGATTCTGAGCCAAAACCTCCTTCCATCAGTGAGAGCTTTGAAGATGAAACGTGGCTGGGTCTTCCAATACGACAATGATCCCAAACATACCGCCCGGGCAACAAAGGAGTGGCTCCGTAAGAAGCATTTGAAAGTCCTGGAGTGGCCTAGCCAGTCTCCAGACCTCAACCCCATAGAAAATCTGTGGAGGGAGTTGAAAGTCCGTGTTGCTCGGCGACAGCCCCAAAACATCACTGCTCTCGAGAAGATCTGCATGGAGGAATGGGCCAAAATACCAGCTACTGTGTGTGCAAACCTGGTAAAGACCTATAGTAATCGTTTGACCTCTGTTATTGCCAACAAAGGTTGTTACAAAGTATTGAGTTGAATTTTTGTTATTGACCAAATACTTATTTTTCACCCTGATTTACAAATAAATTCGTTAAAAATCCTGCCATGTGAATTCATGGATTTTTTTCACATTCTGTCTCTCACAGTTGAAGTGTACCTATGATGTAAATTACTGACCTCTGTCATCATTTTAAGTGGGAGAACTTGCACAATCGGTGCCCCACTGTATTTCTGACTCTAGAATCTGAGACCTTCAGACATCTGGCCTTAAACAACAAACTGATGAGGTGTCCCACCTGTGAGCGGTTCAGGTACTCACTCTTTGACCACGTCGTTGCTCATGTCCAGGTAGCGGTTGCTGATCCACTGCACCTCAAACCAGTCCCTGAAGTTGTTGTTTCCACAGCAGCGGAACTCTATCTGCGTTATGTCCAGTGTCCTCTTCATGAAGCAGCGTCCCGGCGTGTCCGTGTCTTTGTAGAACCTGATGGTGTTTTTCAGGCCCTCGGCCAGCGTCAGGTAGATGGAGAACTGCATGAGGAAGCAGAGCAGCGCCACCAGCAGCAGCAGCATGCTGAAGCCGCAGCTCAGCAGCATGAATGGCTTTAGCATCGGCTTCATCTTGGAGAACTTTATTGGGTCCAGAGCATCATGGCACATCTTGCCCCCAAAAGCGTTCAGGCCGCAGGCCAGCATACCCACCAGGATCAGCAGGTTCGGAACCAAGTGGCTCTCACTGTTGTCCATGACCTCACTCCTCTTCCTCAGCTCGATCTTGAAGAAGATTCCGAGGCTGAATATTGAGATTCCCACAATGACGGAGAGCCAGTAGAACATCCACAGGCCCTGGGCCAGCTTCACCCGCTTCTGCAGGTTGAACTTCACAGACATGAACGGCATCCTTGTACTCTGACCGAGTCCTCCACACAGCAACAAAGGTCACACTCCTTCAGAACCCTTTCAGGGTTCTAATCCACCCCAGAGCAGTAGCGGGGTTCGGGCCCACAGTGCTGAGCTGTAGGCTGGGGGTGTCCATACTGCGGGGGGGCAGAAGGTGAAACAAAACCCACCTGGAGCGGGTGGTGTTGGGGTGTGGACGTGTGCAGCACGACGGAGGTGAGTGAGTGTGAGAGGGACGTTCGGGTCGAGCTAAAGTTGCCTCTGATCTGATTATCAGATCTTTTCTCTAAGTCCACAAATCACCTGTAATTGGTTTGGAGTTAAGCAGCAGCTTCCGGTCACACAGCTCAGCTGTCCTCCGGCACAGCCTGACCAATCAGACGTCACCGTGAAACAGCAGAGGCCAGGCCTGAGGACCTGGTCCAGAGACAGACCAGAACAACTGCTTCTTCAATGACGTTTTATTGGTTTCTGCTTCTTACACAATATTAACTCATTTATAGAAGAACTCACATATAAACAAGATCAGCTGAGCAACAAATAAAAACACAAACACACCTGTCCAACACCTGATATGTTTCCAGAAGCTCCACCCCTTTAGGCTGGTGGTTTCACAGGATGCCTTTCACTTGGTTGCCATGGAGACCACCATCAATCAGCTGTCAGATTGAAACCAATAGTGGAACTGCTGGTTTCTGATGGTTCTGGCAGCTGATTGGCTGATTAACATTCACAGCTAAAATCATAACAAGTAAAACCAACACCTGTTAGAGCGCTCCGAGTGTACTCGGGTCACCTGACAGGTGGGCGGGGCTTTGCTCTGCAGGTTCAACTCAAACCTAAAACTCACAACTTTCTGCTTGTAAGCACAGATGATGTCACTTTTATTGCGTCTAATAAGTGGGGGTGGGGGGTGGGGAGGGGGGAGAAGACAGGGGTCAAAGGTCAGGAGCCAAACACCCTAAAAAAATCCCTGAAGGTTGAGCCGAGATCAGCGTGCAACTGCAAGAAGCTGATTGGTTCAAATAAGAAGTTTACGGAAAAATGTGTGTGGGGGGCAAGCAGCGGGCCAATCAGTGAATGTCTCTCTGATAGTGGGCGGGGATAGAAAACCATCACAGATGCTGCCAGTCAATAGCAACAAGTGTCTGATTGGCCTCCTGCGCATGACCTATGACTTCTGCAATGCCATGCTGCCGCCACAGACGCTCGATCTTCCTGTAACGCTCCAAACACAGGTGGAGGGGGTTTCCCCGTCTGTAAACAAACAAACAAACATGTAAATAAAGCAAATCTAAACAGAAAAATCAGCATGAGGGTTTTTGTTCTGATCTGTACCGGGTCAGCGGGGTGGTTCTGGATCAGAGCACCTCTCCACCAGGTGTGATCAGAGTTTTTGAGCTGGTTTAAATGGAGGAGTAATTCCTAATTTTGTCAAGACTTCCTCTCGTAGGGATGGGAACCTTTGACATTTGAATCGATACTGGTACATAACAAATCTTATTAATGTTCAGTTTGATACTTTTGAGTGTTTAATAATTATTTAAATCTGTTGTTTTTAATTAAATATATATTATTTACCCAATATATAACTATATTTGATAAATATGATGACAAATAACATACAGCTGTTTGTATTTTATCATCGTAGTGTACAAAAATCTACAGATGGAACTAAAACAAACTTTGACACCATATAACTGTTGTTGTATTTTAATATTGTGGTGTTTCACAGACTAAACCAGCTCCATGCACTCCTGTTCCTCTGGACAAACTGTATGATGGCGGTTCCTTGTAGTTTTATAAGTGTGTGATGGTGTGTCAGAACTATTATTCATGTTTTCAATTATCATGTTTTATGCTTTTATTACAATTAAAGAATGTTTGATTTATGCTTATTACAATTAAAGAATGTTTCATTTACCATGTTTTAAGCTCAATGATTTTACCATTTAAATACTTAAACAGTTGCTGTATTGTAAAGTTCCCTCATGAGTTTTTAAGGGTGTTAAAATCTGACTTAATGTGACCCAAGGACGACCTGAGGAGATCAGCTGTTATATCAATTGCTGACTCATCGTGTGATAAGACACTGAAAGTTCTTTGTGTAATAATGAATGCTCTTTGTTTTAAACTTGCAACAATTTAGGACTGAGAGCTGTGTTTTCCCCCTCCCTTCAGAATCAGATCTCAGGCATGTAACTAGGGAAGCTCCCAACTTGTAATAAATAGAGGTGCTCGGATTTCAGAGGTCAGAATGGTTTGAGGAAGTGTCAGCTCAGTGGAGACTGGGTTGGTGTGACTTAATTCCATTCTCCTTGAGCTTAAACAGAATTCTGACTTTTGTGTCTCTTTCCTGTGTTGTGTTGTTATGTGGTGTCTTAGGTGCCTAAACCTGACATGGTGGGTCCTTGTAGTTTTATAAACTGTATGATGGTGGGTCCTTGTAGTTTTATAAACTGTATGATGGTGGGTCCTTGTAGTTTTATTAATTGTAGGATGGTGGGTCCTTGTAGTTTTATAAATTGTATGATGGTGGGTCCTTGTAGTTTTATAAATGTGTGATGGTGGGTCCTTGTAGTTTTATAAACTGTGTGATGGTGGGTCCTTGTAGTTTTATAAATTGTATGATGGTGGGTCCTTGTAGTTTTATAAATTGTATGATGGTGGGTCCTTGTAGTTTTATAAATTGTATGATGGTGGGTCCTTGTAGTTTTATAAATGTGTGATGGTGGGTCCTTGTAGTTTTATAAACTGTGTGATGGTGGGTCCTTGTAGTTTTATAAATTGTATGATGGTGGGTCCTTGTAGTTTTATAAACTGTATGATGGTGGGTCCTTGTAGTTTTATTAATTGTAGGATGGTGGGTCCTTGTAGTTTTATAAATTGTATGATGGTGGGTCCTTGTAGTTTTATAAATTGTATGATGGTGGGTCCTTGTAGTTTTATAAATGTGTGATGGTGGGTCCTTGTAGTTTTATAAACTGTGTGATGGTGGGTCCTTGTAGTTTTATAAACTGTATGATGGTGGGTCCTTGTAGTTTTATTAATTGTAGGATGGTGGGTCCTTGTAGTTTTATAAATTGTATGATGGTGGGTCCTTGTAGTTTTATAAATTGTATGATGGTGGGTCCTTGTAGTTTTATAAATGTGTGATGGTGGGTCCTTGTAGTTTTATAAACTGTGTGATGGTGGGTCCTTGTAGTTTTATAAATGTGTGATGGTGGGTCCTTGTAGTTTTATAAATGTGTGATGGTGGGTCCTTGTAGTTTTAAAAATTTTATGATGGTGGGTCCTTGTAGTTTTATAAACTGTGTGATGGTGGGTCCTTGTAGTTTTATAAATTGTGTGATGGTGGGTCCTTGTAGTTTTATAAACTGTGTGATGGTGGGTGTTTGTAGTTTTATAAATTGTATGATGGTGGGTCCTTGTAGTTTTATAAACTGTGCGATGGTGGGTCCTTGTAGTTTTATAAACAGTGTGATGGGGAAGGGGGTGTTCTTGTAGTTTTATAAACAGTGTGATGGGGGAGGGGTATTCTCGTAGTTTTATAAACAGTGTGATGGGGGAGGGGGTGTTCTTGTAGTTTTATAAACTGTGCGATGGTGGGTCCTTGTAGTTTTATAAACTATAAAGTTGTCAGAATGTAAAGTAATATACATTATATACTGTATCAAAATATATAGAATCAAATATACAAAAAAAACAATAACTAAATATTAAGAATATATGAACATAATAGATAATAAATATTCTAAATAGCAAAAATATTTCACACATAACAAACTACGTATGCAGAACACAGTTCTTCACTGTCTGGAGGAGAGGATTTGGGTTTTCTGTAATGATTTATCACAAAAGTCCTTAACAACATAAACCCAGTTCATATTTATATAGATGTTTAAGTGTTGTTATTCTGCATTTCTACTATTTTAATGCAGAGTCTGGCCAATACCTTCCAGTGCAAATGCTACAATATTGTGACAAGCATCATTGCTGGGTTTAACCAGCCACAGCTGCAAATATAATGATAAATAAATACATATGCAAATGTGAGCCCTCATGAAGTGAGGCGGCAATTTGTGCAGAACGCTGCTGCCAGGTTTATCTGTCCCCCTATCTTTGAGACGTCTCCCTGTCCAGTACAGGATCTACATAAAACTACTGGTCTTGTCTTCAAGTCTCTGTCGGGTACAGCACCTGGTTGCATTTCATCACTGGTGTCTAAATACACTCCAGCCAGAACCCTCCGGTCATCTGAACACCACCTATTGGCTCAAAAACAAGAAGGAAATCAAGCATTTTGTGTGTTTGTGCCTAAACTCTGGATCCACTTCCACCCGATATTAGGCGTTCTACTCCGGAGCAGTTTTAAATCTAAGCTGGTTCTGCATTTTTCATCAGGCTGATTCAAGCTGCTGTTTTTAGCTCTGGACTCTGTTTTTATTGGACATCAGTGTCCTTTTGTTTTATTGATGTCGTTTGATGATTTTTCTGTTTTAATCTTGTTTTAATATGTTTTATCGTTTTGGGCTTGAGTGTACAGCACTTTGGGCCACCTTGACTGGTGGTCAACAGCTGCTCTACAAATGAAATGATGATGAAGTCACAACTTTTCACCAGAAGGTAGCGGAGATGTGTAACTTGAGTCTGAGCAACACTTCTGGGTGTTTCTATTGAAATGTTCTGAGTTTAGAGTTTGAAAACTTAAGATAAAAGTTAAGATTTTTATGAAGCACGGAGCCAGATGTAACAAAAAACAGGGTTCACCCGACGGCTGTGTTGTTTCAGTGATTTATGAAGATTTTCAGTGCATCCCTAATCAAGGGTTTTTAACCGCTTTACTGGTAGATGTTGGTGGCCTAAAGTCAGTTCACCAGCTGAGAACAGGATTACACTGTAGCCTGTGTCTTTTGTGTCCCAAAATACAGTCACTGTGTTACCATGGCAACAAAAACTAACACGTACTTGAGTCCCTGGTCGGTCTCTCCATAGTCGTCCAGGTAAGGTGGAGGATAGAAACAGCCCTTTGTTTTACCTGCAACGAATAGCACCTGACTCTCTCTAACCCTGCAAACACAAACACACACACACACAAACACACAGACACACACACACACACACACACACACACACAGTCAGATGTTGACTCAACAGTCATGTACATGTAATAATCATGCGTTCCACTAGAGGGCGGGGCTTTACGTCTACCATCTGCTCTAGCCCAGCATCACTGAAAATGGCCGGCCTTCACCGCTGACTAGCCGGTTCTTCTAGTGGGTGTTTCCTCCACCCTGAACACCCTGCTGTCATTTATTTCTGCTTTTCTGGTAATTTTCAACAGTCTATGTAAAAGTTATGCTGGAAAGCTATCATCGCGTTAACAGCCCCTAGCGTCTTTATTTTTATTCGGAACCCTCAGCTTTACCCTCCCAAAACTCAGACAGACAGTAAGCTGCACGTGTTACCTGAGAAAGAGGCCGATGCCTGCTCCACAGGTGAAGGTATGGGCGGTGCAGGCTCCAACATCTTCTCCCTCCACCTCCATCTGACAGCAGTAACTCTGAGAGCACAGCATGGAGCCACATACCAGGCACAGTGTGGGGGCACGGGATTTATCCCCACCTGAGCGCGGACACCTGCACAGGTGACACATTTACATGTGAGCAGGAGACACAGCCACCTGTCATCCATGAGATCAGTACCAACATGGACGTAATTTTCACTTTAGAGGTGGAGGGGACGGGTGGGGGTGGGGTTGTATCTTTACAGTATGTTCTAATGGGAAACAGACTTCAACACAAACGGTTGTTTTCCACTTGGGCCAAGAGCTCAGCCAGTGTCGATTTAATATAGCGTAATATTGTTTTTGGATGGTAAAAAGTGCAGGGGTCATTACTTGACTTTGGAAAAAGTGGGGGGGGGGGGGGGGGGGGGGGAACATGCCCCCCCTGCCCCCCCCAAAAATTACGTCCATGAGTACCAATAAGAGGCCTGACCTGCTGGTTCAGCTCTGCTGTCACTAACAGAACCTCAGATCTACTTCATGTAGAATAGAACAGACGAGGGGTACCAAATCCTGGTCCTCCCGATCCCCTATCCAGCATCTCTTGGACGTTTACCTGTTGCAACACACCTGATTTGAATCAGTGGTGATTAGCAGTGTTCTGCAGAGCCTGAGTAGCTGTTGAACAGGTGATCCAGCCACTGAATCGGCAGGGCGAGACATAAAACAAGCTGGATAGGAGATCTTGAGGACCAAGGTTGGGCACCCCTGGAATAGATTTTATTGACACTACAGTGGGGAAATGCACTCGTTGAGGCAGGTGGCAGAGGAGCTAAGTGCTCCCCCCCATAACTGGAAGGTTGCAGGTTTGAGCCCCACTCAGTCACCACCGTTGTGTCCTTAGGCAAGACACTTAACCCACCATGCCTGCTGGTGGTGGTCGGTGGCGCCCGTGTACGGCAGCCTCTGTCAGTGCGCGCCAGGGCAGCTGTGGCTACATCGTAGCTCATCCCCACCAGGGTGTGAATGGGCGAATGACTGATCGTGTTGTAAAGCGCCTTGGGGGGTTCTAGAACTCTAGAAGGTGCTAAATCAAAAACAGGCCATTTACAGAAAACCTAGAGAACAGGAAAAAATACACGTAAACAAACAAAGGCAGCAGGCTATCGTAACCTTCAGCATCTGAAACGGCGTATAGGACACAGACATACAAATGTGATAGAAGATGAATGTTCTTCTGATGAGCATCTGGACAGAACTGCCACAAACACCATCTTTAGGTTCATGTCACAGATCCTAAAAGCAGCTGGATACCTCCCTCAGTGGGCCTGGTCCATCCTGACATGACAGCCCAGTAGTAGTGTGGATGCTAATGAATATAAACAAAAAGGAGGGGCGCTTCTGCAGACGCGCCAACGCCGCAAAGCACTATGGAATTTGTAGTCTTTGCAGCAGAACTGGCCGCAGGTACCGTTTTAATATATATTTGCTTTTTGATCTCATAGACCAAATAAAAGTAGACCACGAGGTCCTGAGTTTGAGACCTGTGTGCTAAGCCCTTTTCTCGTACCACGAGTGACCCCTTAGTCAAACGTATTGATGTACAACAGTTACTTCTCCTTAACTCATTCACTGCCATTGACAACTAAAGTCGTCATTTTAGATCCAACCATTCACTGCCAATGACGACTAAAGTCGTCATTTGCATTTTTTTACTGTTTGAGCATCGGAACGAGCCCCCGCGCTGAGAGAACAAACATCTCAGCCCTGAAGCCGATCTTCATCCGCATACGTCACAGATCACTTGATCAGGAAGCAACACATCCATGTGTTTGGAGATCGTTTTGGGCCGTTCCTGTAAAAAAAGTGAGGCGCGAACCGGAAAAGCGTCTGCCGATCACAATTCGACAACGGATTATGAAAGAACGGATAACGCTCGAAACACGCGGACTCTTCCTGATGTAAGAGGAGAGTCTCCTCTTTGTTTTGGTTGTTTTGGCATCGACATCATGCTAGCACGCAATGTTCTGACTCTTAAAAAAAACTGTAAAAACGGTGAGAAACGGTGGCAGCGAAGGCCGTTAGTGATCAGGAAACGGCTGGCAGTGAGTGAGTTAAAGCTGAACCATGTCCACATGATTCTTTATTACATTTCTTTATCGACAATATTAAACGAGGTTGGAGGTTTATTCTTCTTTTTCTTCATCTGGTGGAGCGACGCTCTGATCAGCAGGTCTGGGGTCATTAGAGGTCAGACCCGCGGTGTGCACCGGCCACGCGAGAGAGGCGGGGAGAGAGGAGTTGCACATTATTTAGTTATTAATGGGAGAAACAGCTGCAGATGGAAATTTAATCAAACCAAATGACGTGTGAAAGTTTAGTCCTGAGTTTATTGTGTCATTAGTGTTAACAAGCTATTACTGCAGATACGACTTCACGGTCACCAGAATTATTTACTGAGCATGTTTTTCTGTTCAACATCACACTCCCGAAACCCAAACTAGGTCCGTAAACCCGACGTTACCCCATCGTCGGTACTTCACACCTGCCAACCTTGTCAAAACTTTTTGAGTACCACATGCGCGGCGTTTTGTCGCAGACTTTTGCAACTCTGCTGCTTTCCACGCTGTAAAGTCCCCATTCCCTGGCTGGAAACATCTTCTTGAAGAGTCCAAAGTTTCATGTATTTTAATATCAAACAGTACAACACAAAAGTTGCAGTTGCTTATATAATATGTGTGCTCATACAAACTGAGAGCCAGAGGGTTACTTACATAGAATTATTTCAATACTTGATCAAAATTTATAAAAAATATTTTAATATTTTACATTACATCAGGTAAGAATGTAATATTAAATTGGCTTAAAGGCCCCATGTGGGAAATCCATTGAAATCATGATGAAAAAATGTGACTCTTTAGCGCCGTGCAGTTCAGAGAAAGTATTGCAGCTACGGTGGCTCACTCATGAGTTTGACTGCATAATCAATTTCCAACCTGTGTAGCCTAACCCACACAAAGCTTAAAACAAGCTACTCGACCTCTTTAAAAAGCTTTTATAATTATGACTGTTTATCAACCTACCAGTTCTGAACAAAGCAAGCTAGTTCTGTTAAAGCTGTCACCATTCACACACGGAGGAGGGGTGACATCAGCCGGGAGGTCAGGTGTTGTGAGAAATAATGTTCCCCTGAAACATTCTGTCCCCTCGTGTCGGGAGATCACACTTCTGGCTATTTTCACAATATTTGTGATAAACTTTTACTGTAAAATGATGTAATGTAATACTGTTATGCTTGTGATTTTTTATCTATATTTCCTCCTAAAAACAATTTAAAAAGATACAGTAAAAACATTCTTGTTCACTCTTTTGCAGCTAGCTTATTTATCATTTTTGAAAGTTATGTAAAAAGATGTAATCTCACTTAGTTTAACTGTCTTTTATTTGAGGTACTTTAGTCCTAATAATGGACAATAAATTCTGTGGATTTGGAAATATTTGCTCTCGACTGCCCAAACGAAGAAGAATATTACAGGGGAACATAATTTCCCACAACACTCGTTTCATGTGGATCACAGTGCCTCGATGTAAATAAACTGGCTGCCGCTATCAGCTTATTAGGGTATCGCTGTTAGTAAAGTGTTGCGGAGATAAAGTAAACAACGCTGATTTAGCCACTGGCTAGCGGACGAGCGCTGGAGCGTGTTGGGAGAGACGGCAGGCTGCAGGAAGTGAGGAGACTTGAGTAGAAGGACTTTGGAACGGACACGCTGGGACCGTGTCGGGAGTTCTGGTACGAGGAAAAGACGAATGAACAACTCGAGGTGAGTGGGAATCAGAGACGCTAATTGGAGGCTGGCATCCAGCTAATAGCGGGCGGGGGTCTGAACATATGCGGCTTCCTTGTGTTGGACATGATGACGAACTGACAAATTTTACATGTCTTTTGATTTAATTGTATATTATTCAAACTAACAAGTACAGCAATGGTGTAGCTATTCTTTTCTACTTCTTAGCTAAATTAGCAGACTCCATGCTTCCAGGGCGCATTGCTGCCCTCTGCTGGTTCTTTCAGGTTACAGTCAAAGTCCAAACAGGTAACGTAGAGCTTGTATGTCCCTAAACAGCTACTGTATTTTATGATGGTGGATGACCATGGAGCCTCGACCACAGTTTATGTATATAAAAATGTGTAATTTCAAGTTGAGAGGAATTTTTAGAATTGATGTTGGTGAGAAATATTAGTAAAAAAGGACAAGTTTGTGAACTGGTAACACAGGATTAATAGTAAAAATATCACACACTGGGGCTTTAAAGCACATGTGCACACACCACCAGAGCCAACTTATACAATACCAGCAGCTCCCTGGTGGCTCATATCCACATCATAACAGCAGATTAAGCTAAATGCATGGTGAGGTAGTTTAGAGGGTCACAAGCATGGCCCCCATTTTTTTATTTGATTTTATTTCTCAATAATTTGGCTAAATCTTTTATTTATTCTTTCTTCCTGTTTGACTTTTTCCATTTATTGTCGTCTGTTGTGTGCAAAGCTGAATTGGTTCCCTTTCTAGTTTAATACTGAAAACACACATGTTGCAAACATGATAATCCAAACTCACAATACATCACTGAAGAAAGTTGCCTTCTTTGGAGTTTCACTGATCTACTAAAGGTTTCACATTTGACCAATTGTCTGTTATGGATTTTGCTGTTAAAGTATCTCTCTGGAGTTTTCTCCTTTCAAAAATTATGCATGATTTGTCAAGAAATCCATAAAAGTGATTACCGTATTTCCGGAGTATAAGCCGCACCAGCCATAAAATGTATAATGAAGAAGAAAAGAACATATATAAGTAGCTCTGGACTATAAGAAGCATTTTGGGAGGAGATTTTATTATTTTTCTTACAAAATCTGAGACCAAGCATTTCACATTGCAAGACAGGTACCGGTAGCAATAACAGAATTAACAACCAGGGCGCAGCAGTGCGCCACGGTCTCCAGCAGAGGATGGCGGTGTTTCAAACCTTCCCAGCGAGCGGGGAGAGCTAATTCCTGTGCCGGAGCCGGCCCGCAGCCAAGGGCTCCCCCAAGGGGTGGCCATGGCCGCCCCTAGAAAATTGCTGACCAAAATAAAGGGGGCAGAAAGTCAAATAATGGGGAGAAAAAGGAAACGTTTTTCCAGACGCCAAGAAAAATTAAATGCCAAACCCCCCCTGCAAAGTGTCTCACTGAGTTTAAAACAAAAATTATTCTTGTGCAAATATTGGTGTATTCACCTTTAATACTAGTTATTAAAATGCAGCAGTTGCTGGATTGGTGCAGTTCAAAGTGGAGTGCATCAAATAAAACAATATTAACATAAAGGTGAGATGTGCGATTTATAGTCCGGAAAATACAGTATCTCATCATGTACTGTGATCAAATGTAAGCTATACGTCTTTTTTTCTTGCTAACTACCCTGCCCCACAGAGCTCCATGCAATAGGAAACTGAGCGCCGACCAAAACTAACCAATAGCGTTAGACTACCGCTTACTTGCTTCAAATTTAAAGAATACCTCGGCTGATGCAGATTTGATGAACTTTTCACGGACAAGTAAGTCTCTAAAATATAAATATATGACAACACAACATGACATGAGAATAATACTCGTGAAACAATGTGTTTTAGCTGTTTGTCGACTACAGAAGCACAATTATAAACAGAAACCTGAAGTCGCCATCTTAAAAGAACGGTTCCAGAGATTGTTTGTGTGATATGCTTGTCAGCCACTAGATGGTGCCATCGGGTAAGAGAAATACTCCGGAAAGAGACTTTAATGTAGAATTATCTAGTCCAGGTTTGAAGAGTCCCATATTGAGGGAAATCTAGTCCCAAGTGGGCCGGACCAGTAAATTAAAAACAACTTCAGATTGTTTTCTTTGTTTTAATACAATCGATATAAAACAAAGCTGGAGCCTGAGGACAGTGTAGTACAAGTACAACACCTGATGTGTACTTGAAAATTTGAAAAACATTAAAAATCAATAAATGAAAAAAAAAAACATTCCTTAGTGATTCAAAGAGCTTACAGATCACATGGCTAGATCAGTTTCATGCAGCACTTAAAGTATATTTGACTCATTTTACTTTACATCTTTTAGCTTTCACCAGCGCATCAATATCAGAAGTCACATCCTGAGTGGCGGCCAACTTCAGGATGTGATTCAAGTTCTTGTGTGAGCCTTGAGCGCAGCTTTGTTTTAGTTATACTCATTACAGAGAAAACTTGCTCACAAAGATATGTTTATTTTCACTCTACATTGTAAAGTATGAAAATAAAGTTTACACAACCATCTTGCGGGCCGGATTTAACTCGTTTGCGGGCCGGATGCGGCCCGCGGGCCACATGTTTGACACCCCTGCTCTAGAGTCTTGCCTTTATTTTGATATCAAAACAGCTCAAATAAACCTTGTAGTTTATGAGATATACTCGATTCATTTTGGACATGTCTTTTTCAAGAAAATCTCTGAAAAATGGCCTGGGGTTCAAGAGGTTAAATGGTAAATGGCCTGTATTTGATATAGCGCCTTCTAGAGTCCTGGAACCCCCCCCAAGGCGCTTTACAACACAGTCATTCACCCATTCACACACACACATTCACACACTGGTGGGGATGAGCTACAATGTAGCCACAGCTGCCCTGGGGCACACTGACAGAGGTGAGGCTGCCGAGCACAGGCGCCACCGGTCCCTCCGACCACCACCAGCAGGCAATGTGGGTTAAGTGTCTTGCCCAAGGACACAACGACAGCGACAGACTGAGCGGGGCTCGAACCTGCAACCTTCTGATTACAGGGCGAGCTCTTAACTCCTGTGCCACCGTCGGGTCAACTGTAGGTTAAACAATCAGTTGATTTTATGAATGCAGACAGGCCCACCATAAAAGAAGGTGTGTACTAACGTGAAGCTGGACGCCTGGTTGATCAGAACACTGTAGTCTTCTGGGAGATTAATTAGTCTGTTGGACTCTCTAGGGAATCTGACGATGACTCCGCCCCCCTGCAGGTTCTGCCTCACACCTGGATGACAGCACCACCTGAACTCGCACACAAAAACAGGTGTGTCACAAATGAGCCTTGTACATGTGTTTACATCCCAGGTGTAGTACCTGTGAATGAGCGGCTCCAGCAGTGTGTGGTGATCCTGGTGCAGCAGCAGCAGGTTGGAGGGCAGACTGAGGTAGCTGCACAGCGCCTCCCACTGACCAGGACCTTCAACTGGAGCAGGACACAAGGAAAGCTCGTTTTTAGTTTGGTGTTGCTAGCTTGCAGTGGTGGCTCAATCCCAATACTCGTATTTCCACACCCCGACCAGGGGTGCGAGTGCATAATGTGTCCCGATTCTCAAGTGCAGAAGTTGATCACGCTCCTTTTGCACCCTAGAACTGCACTTCACCCAAGTGTGCTTGGCTGCAGAAGTTTCTTTTCTGAAAACATGTATTTTCTAATCAAAGTAGTTCATTTTAGGAAGATTAATTGATGCTTTGAATGTTTTAGACAAAGCAGCAATGAAAGTAAATTTCAAATAACTGTTTGTTTGAAAGTTGTAAATAAAGATTTTTAAAAAAAAGGACCACTGCGACCAGCATCCCAGCATATCCCGACGATGAAGCAATTATCTGCACACTTGTGTACCAAACACTAGAAGGCTTTCTGCACACTTTTTCCAAGTTGTTTGCTGAAAACCGCAGGGCGCAGCGCGAGTATTGGGATTAGACATACGTAGCTGTTTCTTACCCATCAGGTCAGCAGGGGGCACTGCAGAGTTTAGGTAGTGGAAGAAGAGGGCAGCAGTTCGGAGGAATGGCATGATGGCAGCCTTAACACAACTCCAGAGCTGCCACCCAGAGGACACTTCAGGTAGCACACTGACACACACACACACACACACACACACACACACACACACACACACACACACACACACACACACACACAAAAGTTTATCATATTAGAACACACATCATCAACCTGTGTCCATCAACATCTGACATCTAATACCTGCCCAGATGCTGACTGAGGGACCTGTAGAGCTGACAGGTGAGCTCCTGCTCCTCTGACACTTCAGTGTCCTCATCCATAGACTGGTCCTCTACAAGCAGACAGGTGAGAGATAGACATGTGAACAACAACTACTGATTGTCTGTGTGGATGTACAGTGGGGCAAAAAAGTACTTAGTCAGCCACCGATTGTGCAAGTTCTCCCACTTAAAATGATGACAGAGGACAGTAATTTACATCATAGGTACACTTCAACTGTGAGTGACCAGAATGTGAAAAAAATCCATGAATTCACATGGCAGGATTTTTAAAGAATTTATTTGTAAATCAGGGTGGAAAATAAGTATTTGGTCAATAACAAAAATTCAACTCAGTACTTTGTAACATAACCTTTGTTGGCAATAACAGAGGTCAAATGATTACCATAGGTCTTTACCAGGTTTGCCCACACAGTAGCTGGTATTTTGGCCCATTCCTCCATGCAGATCTTCTCGAGAGCAGTGATGTTTTGGGGCTGTCGCCGAGCAACACGGACTTTCAACTCCCTCCACAGATTTTCCATGGGGTTGAGGTCTGGAGACTGGCTAGGCCACTCCAGGACTTTCAAATGCTTCTTATGGAGCCACTCCTTTGTTGCCCGGGCGGTGTGTTTGGGATCATTGTCGTGTTGGAAGACCCAGCCACGTTTCATCTTCAAAGCTCTCACTGATGGAAGGAGGTTTTGGCTCAGAATCTCACGATACATGGCCCCATTCATTCTTTCCTTAAAGAGCAAGTCAACCCCTGCCAGATTCTTACTCAACTCCCTCTTCATGTTTGAAAAATGCAACAAATGCTGTTGCCTTGCAGACCGAGAGGGTGGAGCCACAAACCAATACACACACACACAGGCTCACAACGACATTGTGACATCATAAGGACCAGTTTACATCACAGCATACCTCTTAGCCAATAGCGGTGGCAGATTTAAATTCAAATGCAGTGCAGAGTTTTTACCTGACGATGGCGCAACACTGCCAGTTTTAGGCAGAATATTTTAATTTTAACTAAGATGCACTGAAGTACCAACTTATTGACTACACATGTCTGCAGCACGATTAGACATGCATTTATGTAGTTATCTTCAAAAAAAGGTTGATTTGGAGGTGACTTGCTCTTTAACACGGATCAGTCGTCCTGTCCCCTTACCAGAAAAACAGCCCCAAAGCATGATGTTCCCACCCCCATGCTTCACAGTAGGTATGGTGTTCATGGGATGCAACTCAGTATTCTTCTTCCTCCAAACACGACGAGTTGAGTTTATACCAAAAAGTTCTACTTTGGTTTCATCTGACCACATGACATTCTCCCAATCCTCTGCTGTATCATCCATGTGCTCTCTGGCAAACTTCAGACGGGCCTGGACATGCACTGGCTTCAGCAGCGGAACACGTCTGGCACTGCAGGATTTGATTCCCTGCCGTTGTAGTGTGTTACTGATGGTGACCTTTGTTACTGTGGTCCCAGCTCTCTGCAGGTCATTCACCAGGTCCCCCGTGTGGTTCTGGGATTCTTGCTCACCGTTCTCATGATCATTTTGACCCCACGGGAGGAGATCTTGCGTGGAGCCCCAGATCGAGGGAGATTATCAGTGGTCTTGTATGTCTTCCATTTTCTGATAATTGCTCCCACAGTTGATTTTTTTCACACCAAGCTGCTTGCCTATTGTAGATTCACTCTTCCCAGTCTGGTGCAGGTCTACAATTCTTTTCCTGGTGTCCTTCGAAAGCTCTTTGGTCTTGGCCATAGTGGAGTTTGGAGTCTGACTGTTTGAGGCTGTGGACAGGTGTCTTTTATACAGATAATGAGTTCAAACAGGTGCCATTAATACAGGTAACGAGTGGAGAAAAGAAAAGCTTCTTAAAGAAGACGTTACAGGTCTGTGAGAGCCAGAGATTTTCCTTGTTTGAAGTGACCAAATACTTATTTTCCACCCTGATTTACAAATAAATTCTTTAAAAATCCTGCCATGTGAATCCATGGATTTTTTTTTTCACATTGTGTCTCTCACAGTTGAAGTGTAACTATGATGTAAATTACTGACCTCTGTCATCATTTTAAGTGGGAGAACTTGCACAATCGGTGGCTGACTAAATACTTTTTGTCCCACTGTATGTGTCTCACCTGTAGTGGAGGTGAGTAGGATCTGAACCAGGTGAGCCACAGTGATTAGCTGAAGGAGGTGGAGATGACCTGAATCCACAGAACTTCGTCCTGATTGTTCGAGACAGTGAAGGGAGCTGTAGGACAACACACTGTACACCTGTACACACACACACACACACACACACACACACACACACTGAAGCCGGTTCTCTGCAGAGACTAAAGCAGAGACTTAAGGTTCTACGACGGGGCTTCTAGTGAGAAGTGGGGCTTTTATTTAGAGTCTCTGAACGCATTAAGATAAAGTCCTTTGAAACTTTCTGTTTGAATGTCACAAATCATAAATAAAGAATCAGGAGAAAACAAGCAGCTCAGAGATCAGCATATCAGCATACCCAGTTAGAACCAGGGTTGGGAATCAAAAATCGGTTCTTGTTGAGACAGACTTCACTTTTAAATATGGGATCACCACCCCGGTCTGCCAGTCCAGTGGAACTGCCCCCAATATCCACGCAATGATGCAGAGCCACGTCAGCCAGCACAGCCCCACTACATCCAGAGCCTTAAAGAACTCCTGGCAGATCTCATCCACCCCCGGAGCCTTGCCATCAAGGAGTTTCTAGACCACCTCAGTGACCTCAGCACCAGGTGAGAGCTGATTAAAGAATCCAAAGTTCCTGGACTCTTGCTTTTTCAATGGAAGCCGTGCCGGTGGGATTGAGGAGGCCTTCGAAGTACTCCGCCTACCGATCCACATTGCCCCGAGTAGAGGACAGGAGTACACCATCCCCACTATACACAGTATTGGTTGTGATCTGCTTTCCCCACCTGAGGCACTGGATGGTGGACCAGAATCTCCTCGAAGCCATATGGTAGTCTTGCTCCATGGTCTCACCAAACTACGTCCATGCCCAGGGTTTTGTCTCTCTGACCACCTGGGCCCTATTCGCCTCGGCCTACCGATGCTGCCTCTGAAGTCCAACAGGCCAAAAAGACCTGATAGGACTGTTTCTTCAGCTTGATGGCATCCATAACAGTTGGTGTCCGCCAGCGGGTTCAGGGATCGTCACCACGATAAGCACAAATAACCCTGCGGCCACGGTTCTGGTCAGCCGCCTAGACAATGGATGCACAGAACAGGGCCCACTCGGACTCTTTGTCCCCTGCCTCCCTCGGAACATTTCGCAAGTTCTGTCGGAGGTATGGATTGAAACTTCTTCTGACAGGAGACTCTGCCAGATTTTCCCAGCAGACCCTGGGGTATCCTGGTGCCAAGAGTACATGTGGACACCTTTATGTCTGAACATGGTGTTCATTATGGACGATCCATGATGAGTACATAAGTTCAATAACAAAACACCACTCAGATTCAGAGCAAGGGGGCTGTTCCTCCCCACCACACCTCTCCAGGTCTCATTGTTGTTGACCACATGAGCGTAAAGTCCCCCAGTAGAACGAGGGAGTCATCAGAATGAATGCTCTCCAGCACCCCCTCCAAGGACTCTTAAAAGGGTGGGTGGCTGG